AGTTGGTTCATCCACCATTTGCATCAGAAAAGAATTGTTGCTGCTGGATCTTGGGTCTTCTGTGGTTGTATAACCAAAATTAGGGCAATCCCTGCATTGTTGTTAAACTTGAAGAAGACTGAAGAAAATTGCTATGACACCATCTTACTACCAATTTCTATTCTCAGACTTATTTGCCAAGTAAATCCTTCTGTTTCTTGATTTGAGTGTTCCCTGGTTTTTACCTCCTCCACTGCCAATACATCTCAATTTAACAACTCATTTCTGTTAACTTTTGATCAGGAAAAAGATTCAGTCAGTCCATGCCTTTTTTTAAGAAATCCCAAAGTTTTCTGCTCTGTGATTTTGTTTTTGTTTGTTCTTCTTTAATTTTATCAGACTAAAATAACTCAGAATAAGATTTTTTTCCCTTTTTATTGTATTTTATATTCGTTATGCTGGAAAACTATAGCCAAAATAATTCAGTAATTTCATTTTTAAAAAGTATTCTGTTTATTGCTGGAGTTAGAAATACTGACTTTTTACATTACTACTAAAGAGTTGTGGTGAATGGAGTTAAGTCCAGTTGTCAGCTGGTCACAAGTCATATTCCCCAGGGCTGAGTTTTGGGGCCGGCTCTGTTAAACATCTTTGTTAATGAGCTGGATGAGAGGATTGAGTGTACCCTCAGGAAGTTTGCAGATGACACCAAGTTGGGTGGGAGTGTTGATCTGTTTGAGGGTAGGAAGGCTCTACAGAGGGATCTGGACAGGCTGGATCGATGGGCTGAGGCCAGTTGTATGAGGTTCAACAAGGCCAAGTGCTGGGTCCTGCACTTGGGTCACAACAACCCCATGCAACGCTACAGACTTGGGGAAGAGTGGCTGGAAACCTGCCTGGCAGAAAAGGACCTGGGAGTGTTGATAGATAGCCAGCTGAACGTGAGCCAGCAGTGTGCCCCGGTGGCCAAGAAGGCCAACAGCATCCTGGCTTGTATCAGAAATAGTGTGGCCAGCAGGACCAGGGAAGTGATTGTCCCCCTGTACTCAGCACTGGTGAGGCCACACCTCAAATACTGTGATCAATTTTGGACCCCTCACTACAAGAAGGACATTGAGGTGCTGCAGCATGTCCAGAGAAGGGCACAAAGCTGGTGAAGGGTCTAGAGCACAAATCTTATGAGGCATGGCTGGGGGAACTGGGGTTCTTTAGTCTGGAGAAGAGGAGGCTGAGGGGAGACCTTGTTGCTCTCTGCAATTACCTGAGAGGAGGGTGTAGTGAGGTGGGTGTTGGTCTCTTCTCCCAAGTAACAAGCGGTAGGACAAGAGGAAATGGCCTGAGTTGTGCCAGGGGAGGTTTGGGTTGGATGTTAGGAGAAATTTCTTCACCAAAAGGGTTATCAAGCATTGGAACAGGCTGCCCAGGGAAGTCACCGTCCCTGGAGGTATTTAAAAGATGTGTAGATGTGGTGCTTAGGGACCTGATTTAGTGGTGGACTTGGCAGTACTACGTTTTCAGTTGGACTCGGTGATCTTGAAGGTCTTTTCCAACCATTCTACGACTCTAAAAAATGCATAAGAATTCCTCCCTCTTCATATTTTGCATTTGTCACTTGTGCAGAAGCTATGTAAGTAACGAGTTTACTGGTGGCATTGGGTATAATGCATGAATGCTTTAAAACAAAACAACAAAAAACCAAAAGCTTTTCCAGCTTTCACAATTTTATTCCCATGCTTTATTTTAAAATTATCAGATTTCATGTTGGTGACATTGCTAACGCTTCTGTAAGGGTAGACTCATATTCTCCTAGAGAGAAATGTTAATATTAAGATTTTGTGGTTTTGTTTTGTTTGTGGTGGGTTTTTTTGGGTTTTATGGTGGTTTGTTTTGAGTTTTTTGGAGGGTGATACTTCAAAGAAGAGGAAATTCACAGAGGAATGATTAAGAAATTGAAGGGATAAGTGTGCAAATATAAAGGACTGTAGACTTCCCATTTTCAACAAAACTTGAGGAACTTTCATTTTTTAAAATAACTTCCTTCTGTGTTTTGGGTCAGTGGTTTGTACTGGGAGGAGGAGGTGTTGGCAGTAGAAATAGCTCTTGGCAAATGTGATTGAGTACCTGCCAGCTGCAGAGAGAGTTAGGAATGCTGTGAGGAAATGCAGCTCGGTAGCTGTAGCTGCAGTGAGTGCTAACTGGCATTGGTTGTGCATTGGTATGTCATGTGTAAATACTGCTCGATCAGGTGAGCATCTATCAAGTCTACTGCTTTTAATGGTAAGTTTAAACACAAGCTTGAATTCCAGAGTTCAGTGAACGGAAGAATAGGGTGGAAAATGTAGATTTTCTTCTTTTACTAAGGCAGATATTTCAAAGACTTATTCTCTCAGTCAAATCCTTAATCTTATACTACAGACCTGATATAAAGATCACTGATTCTGATTTATTTCAGCTGATTTCTCAAAGACATGGTGTCACTTTGTATTTTCATGAAATGCATCTCTCGCTTGTTTCTGCAAAGCTGAGGGTTATGTTAGAATAATGTGATAAAATGCAGTTGAACTCTTTAGCAGAAGTGAGTTTGCAATGATGTCTGTTAGCATTATTAAAGAGTCCTGAGAACTCTGAAGAATGAAGTAATGAAAGAAACAAGAATCTGTGCATACCTTGTATTTTTGAGAATTGAGAAAAGCTTCCAACCATTGCTGCTTACACTTGAGCAAAATGGTGAGGGTAGGTTCCATCCATCTAAACTATGTATGAGCAGTGTACACATTATTACTTGTGATTAACATTATGCTCAGGCTTGTGGATTTAGGAAAACAGGCCCATGGAAAAATTTTCAGACACGATTGTTTAAAATAGAGATTGATTAAATACAGTTAATAATACAGCAAATGTCATGAGGATGGAGCCAAGCTCTTCTCAGTGATGCCCAATGGTAGGACAAGGGGCAATGGTTGTGAGCTGGAACACAGGAGGTTCTGCTTAAACTTGAGAAGAAACTTCTTTACAGTGAGGGTGACAGAGCACTGGAACAGGCTGCCCAGGGAGGTTGTGGAGTCTCCTTCTCTGGAGACATTCAAGACCCGCCTGGACGCCTTCCTGTGTAATTTCGTTTAGTTTCCTGCTCCGGCAGGGGGTTGGACTGGATGATCTTTCGAGGTCCCTTCCAATCCCCAACATTCTATGATTCTGTGATAAAAAATAAGTTCCTAGTAAATGTTGATAACATGCAAGTATAATTCAGATACAAGAATATAAGAAAAACAAGATTTATCTGCATATTTTCTATCTTTCCTACTTCCCCCTACTTGTGAATATCTAAATACACACACATATCGAAGACATAAAAGGAAGCTTGATTATGACTTCATTTATAAAACTTGGTTGCTATCAGTACAGGCCTACTGTGCTGTGGCAAGGACCTGTTCATGTCTTCATGAAAAAGGTATCTAAATTAATTAAAGATATTAACATAAGTGTTTTAAACTGCAGAACATGATTTGCGATTCTTAAAATGGATTGTGCTCGTAAGTGTTTTAAACTGCAGAACACTTCATATGATTTGCGATTCTTAAAATGGATTGTGCTCTGTAATGTATTAATGCAATGAATACATTATACATAGTTACATGCTGATGATTAACTTCATTCAAGTAATTGAAAAAGGCAGAAATAGACCTAAGGGTGACATATTGGTAGTAGAAATCTCATTCAGTTTTAGTCTTTACATTTGGAAAAAAAGTTTTTTAGTGGGAACCGTGGCTGCCTGAATCTACATTTATTTTCCATGAAACACCGAAATTTTCCATTTTCTTTAGGACTAGTCCTACAGTTAATTGACAAGTATGTATATTTAAATAGAAAATTATTTTCTGCTGCAGAACTGGGAACAAAAACTGATCAAACCATTGAATGTTGCTGTATTCGTAACTTGATTAGTTTAAGCCACTAGCTTACCTAAAATACAAGTAAATTCAAAGTGATTTTCGTAGAATCATAGAATGGTTTGGTTTGGAAGGGACCTCAAAGATCATCTAGTTCCAATCCGAGGTCGCTGTATTGTTTGCAATAGTCAGACTGGGTACAGAGGAAGCAACTAGTAATTCTCAGACTTAATCCAAACTTAATGTCTCTTTATTGATGTATACATGATTAAAAAAAAACAAACAAACATCCCTGTATCTGGTACAGTACTAAATATAATAAATGCCTGTTATTGGGAAACCCTGTGGAGTTTTTAATCTCTGCCATGACTCCATTGCGTAACGTGTGCTATATGAATGTATTTGCTTCTATAGCCTTGGATACTTTGATTTGTTGGCCTTTTATCTGATTCTGTGAATCTGTTGTATGTCATGTGTAACATTTACATTTTTGTTACCAATGCCTGAATAGCAACATCAGAAATGCTTTTGTAAACTGTTAGTAATAATCTGAATAAAATATACTGTAAAAATAACATTCAAGAATTTTTCTTTCCAGGGGAAAGTAGTATAGTTTAACTTAGTAGAGAAAAATAAGTGATGGGATGTGACTTACATTTGATGCTGCAACAGGTGATTCTATTCAAAAGACACAGAAATACCCACTGAATATTGTAGTTATTGGTCTGTGTTTGGGCTGTCATTGTGACTTACAGTGAATCTGTCATTTACATGTTGATATATAGGCATCCCTTTAAAGGTGCAGTGCAGAGTTTTGTACTGTAAATTACCAGAATTGATGCTGACATGTTAGTGGGCCTGGCTGCTTCCAAAAGTACATAAGGACTTGTGTATCATCTTTTCCTTTCTGATCTGCACAGTTAAAGAATATATACTTTTATAGTAACAACTGTTATTATTGCTAAGTATATGAAGTTAGCAATCTAGGAAGACATTTTTATCATTAATTTAAACAATTTTTCTTATAGAAGTATTTTTTGGTTTTTTTGTGGTTTTGTTTTTTTAAGGTGACGTTACAGTGCAAACTGGAGATCTGCTGCCTTGTAGAATTTGTGGAAGGACTTTCTTTCCAGCAGCACTGGTAAGTGATATGAGCACTGTTAGCTTTTAGATCTAAGAAGTTGATATGGGAGCTAAGCAAAGGTCAGTATAGCTAAATAAAGTAGATCTAGATGCTTGGTTTTGGTGGGGTTTTTGTGTGGGTTGTTTGTTATTTTTTTTTTCTCCCAAATAATTGTCAATTCCAGTTGTCTCAGTTTTGAAGCTCCTTAGAATGCATCTCACCACTTTCTGAAAATACATGTTTGTAAAAGCATTTTCTCTAGGGTCACAGAATCATTCCTTTCCTCTGCAGATGTAAGCCCTAGCATCATGCAGACTCACATGGTAAATGAAGCCATCTTCAAAATACTGTGTTCTCCAGTCTTAATAGAAATTGATCTGTCCTTAAATATGAATATGAATTTCAGGATCTTCTGATTTGTCTTGTCACTCAATGCAAATGCTATCTACCTGCCATCAAATTTTTGTTTGCAAGGAGCAAGTACAGATGCTTCCTATTTTTCTTCCTCATCACCCAAGTTTTTGTGACCATGTCTATGCATTCGTGGATACCTGTAGTTCCATTCTAAAAGTAATGGCTGGCATAAATATTTGAGTGAAAGCAGTCTGATCTTACTAATCAAGAGTTGAGCCTTGTTTGCTGATTAGCATATCAAGAAGGAGGGAAATAACATGTTAATAACTTAAGTTTTCACAATTAAGTTCTATATTCTCATTTTCATTTTTCTTCTGCTCGTAGAAAAAGCATGGACCTATTTGCCAAAAAACTTCTGCCAAGAAAAGGAAGACATTCGATTCCAGCCGACAGAGAGCAGAAGGAACTGACATTCCCACAGTAAAACCTCTTAAGCCACGGGTATGTTATAATTTAATCTGCATGTGAACGTTTTAGGCAAGCTATATGTGCATTATAATAAGGCTTATTTCTGCTGGCAATTTATGATCATTAGATCAACTAGGATCTGGAAGAAATCTGACTATAATGTTGTATACTAAAATAAGGCACATACTTAGCCTGAAGTAAGAACTTCAGACATATAAAACTCTTTTTTGGCTTTTTAGCCAGAACCGCCCAAAAAACCTTCCAACTGGAGACGAAAGCACGAAGAATTTATAGCAACTATACGAGCAGCCAAAGGACTTAATCTTAAAGACGGTGGAAAACTCCCTCCACCACCTCCGCCATCATATGACCCTGGTATGTAAAACAATCAAGTTCTTCAGACTTTTTTTTTTTTAACTTATTTTGTAAAAAAATTTTTATTGGAAAGGAATTTGTTGGAATACAGTATTCACAAGTTCTTGAAGATGACTATCTGATTATCCCATGGCAGATACAGGTTTGTGACTGTGAGTCTAGCTGACTCCCAGCCTATGTAGCTTTCAAAGCCCATGACATTGCTTTTAATGCATCAAAAGGTAGTTGTGGCCAACTTGCAGCATGCTACTGTCTTATAAACTATAGGCTGAACAAATTGTTTCAACACCTTGTTTCTGTCCACAACAGTGGAACTGCTCAGAAAGAGTAGACTACCTTTTTAATTAGGTACTTTTTAATTAGGTTGTGGCTGGACACCCACAACCTATTTACATTGTAGGAATACATGTTCGACTATGCTCTTCAAATGTAGTCTGTCCCATTTCTTGCTGAATTCACATTTAGTTTCATGTATGCAGTGTATACTCTAGTGTGGTTGCTTATTCTTCCTCATGTGGTCAGGGTACTTGTTTTTTTTCAGTAGGTGGGATGTGTGGGATTTGTATTAACAAGAGAGTAACAGTAGTTGGATACCTTCAGAACTGAGGCTGGGTAAAGCATTGAAGCAGTCTGGTGTTAGTGAGAAGGAAACAAACTTTTCAGTGAACTTTTGTGATGTGATAATAGATTGGAGAATACATTTCTTCCTCTTTTCCTAAGAGCTAAACCATTTGATCAGCTCAATGACTATTTTCAGAAAGATTGGGAAAAACTGAAAAAATAATGGTTTTGCTTCTGCCTGTCTGTGGTCAAATGAGAATGTGAGTGTTCCCTACCTTGTTTCTTTCCAGGACACGTGGAAGTCCAGTATTAGGTTGTAATTGTGCGTAAGAATTAAGAAGTGAAGTCATATTATTCACCGTTCAGTACACTTGAAATGACATATGCATTTTAAAGTAAAGTAAAGCCAATAGGTAATGTTGTGGATAAAAAACATAAGGTTTGATCATGGAAAGGATCATTAATAATCTAGTGGTATAGTTTCTCAATTACAAGCAGAAGAGCCCAGAAGTAAATCTAGCTTGGAAAGCTACTAAAATGGTGCTCCCTTGGTTCCAGAAACTGCAAATGAGTTTGAAGTGGAGGAAGTAACTCTGTTGAGCCTGCTTGAAAGCAGATAGGAGGTAAAGTGAAGAGAAAGTTATTATGCCTGTTTCTCTTCCCATTTTTTACTTTTTCCAAGCATACTCTTACTGTTTATAGTCTCCTGGCTTTATCCTACTACAGTGGATAAGACTTAAGAGGAGGGAACCAGGAATGAAGAGAAGATGCACAAATTGATCAATGGATTCTCTTCCTGCAAATAGAACAAAAATAAAGCAGTGGCAGCTACTCTTGCTCCTTTTCCACTTTATCTGTAGGAGAGAAACAGAATTATGCATGGTATCATGGAGTATATCCATCCTCTCCTACTCAGCTCTGTCTTTGGCATGCCTATTTCTAACTAGCTGCTAGTTTTTTTCCTTCGAGTTTGCAAACAAGCAGCATTGCTGGTTCTTCGATCTCCTGTTTCACCTTTTCCTTAGAAATGCTGAATAGCCTCGTGATATTAAGAAGGACCTTAAGCCACCTCAATTGTGTTGAACTTGACTGCATATGTGTACTGCCCACTTATTTTGATTAGTTTGTATTTTATAAAGCTTATACTGAATCCTAACAGTTCTTCTGGACAGTATGAACAGTACTTCCACATAGCCAGGTGGCTGACTGGTGCTAAGCGTTTCACAAAAGGATGAAGGTACAATCACTGATTCTTGAGAGTGTACATTAATCCTCTACAGTCTGATCCATTTACTTTAGTGGCTTTTGAAAGTCTTCTGTGAGAACTGAGCTGTGCCCTAGCTAGAAATGTATTTTCTTATTATCTAGGGGCTTCCATAGCTGCTTTATATATGTGTACACATACACATACACACACACACACACACACACACACATATATATATATGTATATATATAAAACTTTGTTTGGACCTATCTTGGTTTGACCATATAGATATTACAGTTTTTTTCTTATGATTTTCTGTCTCTTAAGATGTAGTTCATGTTTGACTATTCTGACAGGAGTGGAGTTTATGTAAAATAAATAAAAATTCATTGTTGTTATCACATGAGATTCCCATGCTGTCACTTCTGTGAAGGATTCCTGTTTTCTTCCTGTGTCCTTTGGTCACAGTTCATAGTTTCATGGTCACTGCATCATTTAACTTATTCAAAATTGTTTTTTGATTTAAAGGGGTAACTACTTAAGCCAGATCTGCTGCTTTTGGAGTAGTAACATGTAATCCAAATCTTATTTTGGATTGTATAATATCTAACTGTAATCTTGGAGGCAATGACTGTAGTATCTCTCCTCATTTTCTTCAGTACATTTCTAAAATCATGTGGAAACGTACTAATTTAACCTGCTTTGCCAATGTCCAGCTCTTCTGAAGTTGATATTTACATGGTTTTGAATACTTACAGTATCTCTGGGGACTTCAACATCCACGTCTCTAGACACTAAAATGTCTATCTGAAACTGCAGTTTTTCCAAACACTTAGCTTTTCAAGAGCAGTGTATTTATTTTAAGGGCTGTATTTCCAGCATACAGATGAGGGAGCTTTCAGTATTTGAAGCATTTACATAGCCTTTCTATTTTTTCCCCAGCATTAATAGTAACATTTCCTGCAAGTAGTACTGTTTGTAATGTGACTAAATTAATAACGAAAAATAATACAACCACCAGTTACCCTGTTTTGCATGTCTCTATAGATATCTCCTAATTTTGGCTGGATTTCCTCTGATCCTTTTTTTTTTTTTAATTTCCAATTTTTTTTTTTTAATTATTGTTTCAAGTATTGCAGTTAGTATTTCTTAGTCTTATCAAAGCTGCTAGAGGAAACAGATTTCGTTGTCTTTTGCTATTTGTATGTGAAGGGTTTAATGCAATTTCATGTCTTGACCAAACTGAAGTGTGTGTGATTTTTTTTTTTTTTTATGTAAGCCTCTTCACCACTTCCTTCCAGCTGATATCCCCACCCATGTCCATATTTAATTTTCAGATCCAAGAAGCCTTCATTTTTTCTGAGGGTGGGGCTGGTCTTTAAAAGACTTCAACACTAAAAAAAAAAAAAGGTGTTTTATTAATGTTAGGTTTTTTATCTTTTTGAGATTACATTCAGTGTCCATATTGTCAGAGAAGATTTAATGAAAATGCAGCTGACAGACACATCAATTTCTGTAAGGAACAAGCAGCACGGATTACTAATAAGGGGAAATTGGCAGCTGATACCAAAGGAAAGCTTCCTACTCGAACACAGGTGAACTACAACATTTTTCTTAACTTGTAACTTGCATTCAACATCAAATCAAACTTGTTAAACAGTGTGTTGCTCTTAAATGGAATTAACCATTGTATTCTGCAGTTTTATTATTTACAATAGACTGAAATTAGACACTAAGCACAGAAGTAGTTTTTGCTTTCTTACGAGACTTGTAGAGATCCATGTCAGATGGCAGTAGTTGCAAAGCCAAAAACGGTCATAAATGTAACTCAGAGATTTATGAAAATGACAGATAAGGGTAGCAGCAGGAACTAGAGATGCAGTGTTTGTAAAGAAAGCTGAATTTCTATTGTGCAAGTCTTCTAAATCCAATTCAAGACTATTCCTTAACTGGACAAAGGTACCTGACTACAGAATAACTGATAGCAATATTTGGCTAATTAGAGGCTTAGAGGAATTCAGGCATATTAAGGTAAGAGCTACAGTAGTTAACTTATGAAGGAAACTAATCAGGGATTAAAGTCCATGCGTTTTCATTTGGTTGTAGTGCTCTTTTTTCCAGGAGCTGTGAAGGGTTTAACAGTCACAAGCAGTTACTTAGTGACTCTTGCACTGTGTTCTGAATCAGTGCTGGGACTGGTCCAGAGCACACAGGTGAAAGTAAGATTTGAAAGACAAAAATAATCCTGCCCTTGACTTTTCTTTTTAAAATTAACTGGTAATGAGATGATAATGTTAAGCTCATGAGACAGCTATGGAAAAAGAAAATAAAGCTGTAGAAAAGTGGAAAATACACAAAGACTTACAGTTAAATGAAAAAACAAAACCACTGAGTAAAGTTGGACAACCTTTCCTACTAGTATCATCTGTATGTATAAGGAAGCAGACTAGCAGAAGCTGTTTGCATGAGCCCGTACCAGAAACAGTTTACCTAGTAGGCAGTACTTTACCACAGTACCTGAGATGACTACCTGTCATGTTATATAGATAGTTTGATTTAATTGCTTAAATTTCTAGGTTGTATTTTGTTACAGAACAAACCTGCTGCAGTTAAGAAGATGCCTTCTGTAGGATCAACACCACCATCATCATCATCACGCTTACCACAGCCAAGTGGTGTTAGCAAAACTGTTGTAGGTATGAAATGAGTGTTACGAATTTTCTGTTTCCTTTCTAAATATTATTAGCCTAATTTTAATACCTGGAAGGATTTCTGCAGCCTTGAACACTGATTTAAACTGACAAAGTAAAAAAATTCATAGGACGAGCTCTGTGTTACGTGAGTGGATTAAATGGTGTCTGGTTTTCGTAATACAATTTTTCTTGATCAGTGTTTTTGTGACCTGATTTTTTTTAACTAACATACATGATGGCTATGTACTTTATTGTTGAAATTGATATAGTGGATTGTAACAGCTCATTTAAAGTAAAGTTGTAAGAGGCTCTGATTGGTGTACTATCCAACAAGACTCTTGAGCACGTAGGATTCTCTTGTGGTTAATCTATAGGGTCAAATTAGGTTTTTTTCTGAATTGAACTTGCAAAATAATTCTGCGTAGTAATGCATAACTGCATCTGATACTGATCTCTCACCTGAGATTTTTCTCTTGCTTAATTCTGTAACTTATTTGTGTGCTGAATATGATAATGAATTAGTGAAAATACACTGGTCTTATTCTAATTTCAGATATCATCAGATAACAAACATGTTCTGTTTTACATTGACATTCAAGGCTTCTTTTCTTTCCATTTTCTTCCTAAAGAAAGTAATTGAGATCCAGTGTTTTTTATTAGAACAGAACAGCTCAGTTGTTTCCAGAAATTTACAGAAAATGTGCATGCTTGCTTTTTTTCTAGTATCTTGACACTTGTTCATATCTTGATTAAAAACTCTTGTTTTGAATTTTGCTATTGAAATATATATAGTGAATTGTATGTTTCCAACAGCAATGTCTTGCATTTTCTTATATTTCCATGCTTGCTTTCAACTGCAAGGTGCCTCTTCAAGTAAAGCGCTATCTTCACCTGGATCCAGTGGGAGCAAAATTCAGACATTATCACCAGCTCATAAAAACTCATTGGGAATGGTGAACCCCCAAGCAGGGTAAGTTTCCATTTAGTGTCGTCACTTACGCTTTATTTCATATTTATGTTGTGCTACTTTTGCAAGTCTCTGTGGTCTGTTTCGCTTGCATTTTTTTTCTTTAAGCTTCAGAAGTGCAGTGTTTTGAATTTATCCTTTATTTATAAACACAATTAATGTTTAAGGAACGTTGGAGTAGGTAAGGATGCATCTTCTAATGTTAAAATAAAAACAAAGGATGTAAAGTGATAGAACTAAATATAAAGTAAATTAAAAAGTTACAGAATATGCAGGAGTGGTTGGAACCATAATTTTTTTTTCTTTGTAAAAGTGAAAAGTCTTGAAAAAGGATAAAACATTAGGCATAACTTCCTACCATTTGTGGAAATAAAAGGAGACCTCTGCCACAGATCACAAGCCAGTTGTTACAGGATCTTTTTTCTTGGCACAAAAGGATAGATGCTTTCCCTCTTCCTTTTCCTCTCTTAAAACACGAAAACGGCAACAAATGAATGAGCACAAATTAAGGCAACAGAAACCAGTGCTCTACAACAGCATCAAGAAGCAGTAGAGAGTTCAGTGAAAGTAGCGATGTGATCAAGGCTGTTACTGATATTTTGCCAGCGGGCTAGTCAGTGCAGACTATCTCAAAGAAGAAATGTATGGAAGGAATTGAAGAAAAGTAGTACAATTTTACAAAAGTTTGGGGAGCACCAAGGAGCTCTGAGAGAAAATATAAGAAATACAACATGATTGCAGTTTTATCATTGGTGATTGAAGAAGTCTTCTTTGTATAAAAACAAATATCAGATTGGATGAAGGCTGTATGAGGTGAAGAAAAATGACGGCTTAATTTTGTGAAGAAGAAGAAGAGGGACATTCTGAAAGAACTCATGGGGATGGACAGCTTTAATGATTACACAAAACAAGTGATTTTTATTTTTTCACTCTGAAGTGTTACCAGTTACACACAAATATGAATTTACAGCTCTGTCACACCTCCCTTCTGACACCGTGTAGCATGAGGATGCAGTTCTTTCCCTCCTTGCTCAACCCACTTGTACTAAGTCTTTTGGACACAGACTGGAGGCAGAGTCTATGAGGTTGTCAACAATTTCACCACCACCCCCACCCCACTCCAGTGTCTTTGGTCTACAAATCAGCTTCACTACTCTTTGTAGGCATCTATGCTTCTACTGTCAGAAGATCCCACCCTCTGTAATCACTGACTGATTTTTATATAACATTTCTCCATTTTCCTCCCACCCTCTTCCACTCCATTTTCTTGGCCTTTTTTCATCACTCCCCTGCCCATTCTCCTCCCAAATAAGCAACCTGCCTCTAATTTTGTTCTCTCTATTGGTCCCCATTTTGTCCAGTCTGTATCCAAATTTGATGTTTCTGATACAGTTATCTAGGCAACCTCAGCCGTGTATGGTGTTACTGGTATGGTTACCTAGGTTGCTCTACATGGTTCTAACCCACAAAATATCTCCAAAACTCCCCTTGGGTTATCTAATCAGATTGATTATGAATTGCTTGCTTACATGGTTTCTAAGTCAAATAATTTGACTTTAACCTTTATACCTCCACTTAGTTCATATTAAGCAAGCACTTGCTTATGTTCTAAGCAGATACTTTGCATACCAGAGCAGCATGTCTTGTCACACTCTGCTGTAGCGCTCACGCAGCACCCATCTCTCTCCTAGCTGAGTAAGAACAAGTTCTTGGCCATGACGTGTTCTTCAGACAGTCTCCAGGTTTCTTGTGGAGTCCCTCTCAGTATGGGCCCAGCAGGACCTGTTGCTCACGCAGGGGTTAAGAGATGCAACTGGAAAAGCCTGTTTTAGGGGAAACAAAATGGTTGGAAAAAATGTGAAGAAGGTAAAGAATGTGAATGTGATGTGAAGTTGATGAAACAACTGGAACCTGAAGAGAATGAGCCCTTCAGTCTCCAACGTTAAGGACTAGACCATACAGGGACTAGGAAGGTAGGTTGAGAGGACAAAGATAGTCTTTCTATTAGTGCAAAACAAGGACACCATAGAAAACTCTCTCATATAGGGAGAAAGGAGCGAATGACTTGAGGAAGCCAACAAAAAATAGGTAGGTGGCGGGACTCAGTTAAACAAGCATTAGAATTCTTTAATTGTGTGATGACACAATGGAAAGAGAAAACACATGCAATAGAGAAACTTTGATTAAAAGATTTCTGATAAAGATCCTCTGCAGTTTAAGAGCAAAAATTAGAAGAGGCAGGGGCAGAAGGGGATGTGATAGGTCAAAATAGTGTATTTGGAGCAAAGAAAGGATGATTATGAATCAACAAACTTAAAAGATGGAACTGAACCAATTGGAAGTTGCCAGTGCTGTTGTGTCACACATATTGTATGTGGAGACAGTTGGGAAGTCATAATCCTTTCATTCTTTTTGCAATGTTGTGATGGTTTAATCACAGAGGCTCGCTCACACACCCCACCCCCACCCTCCGGTGGTAGGGGGAGGAGAAAATGTAAACAAATGGGGCTCATGGGTTGAGACAGGAGCAGTTTACTAGAATGGTAAGGAAGAGAGAAACAACACCAAATAACAACAACAGTACTAACGAAAGACCAGGTTGCTCAAAGCCTCATCCAGCCTGGCCATGAACACTTCTTGTGATGTGGCATCCACAACTTCTCTGGGCAACCTGTTCCAGTGTCTCACCACCTTAATCATTAAAATAAATAAATAAATAAATAAATCTTCCTTTTGTCCAATCTAAACCTACCTTCTCTCAGTTTAAAACCACTGCCCCTTGTCCTGTCACTACAGGTCTTGGTAAAAAGCCTCTCTCCATATTCTTATAAACCTCCTTTAATTATTGAAAGGCTGCAATAAGGTCTCCCAGGAGTATTCTCCAGGCAAACAACCTCAACTCTCTAGCCTTTTTTCATAGAAGTGTTCCAGCCCTCTGACGATTTTCATGGCCCTCCTCTGGACCCACTCTCACAAGTCCATGTTGTTCTTGTACTGAGGACTCCAGAGCTGGATGCAGTACTCCAAGTGGTGGTCTCACAAGAGCAGAACAGAGGAGGAGAATCAACTCCCTCAACCTGCTGGCCACACTTCTTGTTATGCATCCCAGCATACAATTGGCTTTCTTGGTTACAAGTGCTTGTTGCTGGATTATATCAGATTTTTTCATCCACCAGTATCCCCAAGTCCTCCACAGGGCTGCTCTCATCCATTCATCCCCCAGTCTGTTGATATTGAGAATTGCCCCAACCCAGTTGCAGAACCTTACAGTTGGCTTTGTTGAACCTCATGAGGTTTACCTGGGCCCACTTCTTGAGCCTGTCAAGGTCCCTGTGAATGGCATCCCCTTTCTCAAGCATGTCAGCTGGACCACTCAGCTTGGTGTCATCTGCAAACCTGCTGAGAGTGCACTCTGTCCCACTATCTATGTCATTGCTGAAGACATTAAATAGTATTGGTCCCACTACAGACCCTCAAGGGACACTGGTTGTTACTGGTTTCCACTGAGACATGGAGCTGGTGTCTGTAATTTTTGGATGTGGCCCTCTAGTGGATTCCTTATCTAACAGTCTGTCCATCAAATCCGTATCTCTCCAACTTAATGGCAAGACTGTTGTGAGTGACTGTGTTAAAGGCCTTACAGAAGTCCAGGTAGATTACATCAGTAGTTCTCTTGTCCACTGATGAAGTCACTCCATTGTAGAGGGCCATTAGGTTGGTCAGGCACGATTTGCCTTTGGTGGAGCCATGCTGGCCATCTCTAATAAAAATATGTTTCAACAAATCAGAGGAATGTAAGTCTTGGTGTTAGATGAAGAAACACATTGTAACAGGAAATGGGAAAGGAGAAGGGTTGCTGTGTTGCCCAATATGGTGAAGACCTTTGCTTTTCTTTGCCTTGCATCAGACTCCAGCTTTTCTGATCCTACTGTTCTCTTATCCTGTGTTTTCTCAGAATTGTAAAATCTGGTAACAATGATCTAGGTCATAGTGAAAGATGAGAGCCCACAGCGAATCGTCAGGTTAGGGGTGTGTCATAGATAATTGTGATGTAATCAGAGACAGTGTTAATATTTCAGAAGCAACAAGTGAATGTGGTTCAAGAATAAGGGAAGGGGTCATCTTGTGCAGTTCTGGAAAATGGCATAAGATGAATGTGAACAAAAAGAAATTATTTTTATCAGAAACAGGGAGGATTGGGTTGGGTAGGCATAGCATGATTGCAAGTGAATGTTACCACAAGTGGAAAGGGGGATTAGTATGTGAAACCTTGATCAGTATGAGAGAGGAATGGTCATATGGGGAAGAAAGAAGAGACAGAAATTCTGGTTAAGGAAGGGTGTCCTTTCCTTGGGAAAAGGAAATAATGGAATTCAAAACAACGTGGAGAAGGCACAAGGTAGCTGAGGTGCAGAAGCTGAATTAACACCTACTGCTGAGTGTCAAACAAGGAGGCCTGCAAACCACAGTAAAACAAGTCAGCTGAGATAATTTGAAGGCGTGTTTCTGACCTCAGTGATGAATCCTAGCTGTCTGGGAAAGTCTTTTTCCTGATAGAGTTTCTAATTGCAGTCTGGATTGGTTTGTAAGGGAGTGTAGATTTTGGCCTTCACTTCTTAACAAGGAAGTTTTATTTAATTTTACCAGTTGTTTACAGGACTTGCTACCTTGTGTTCTGTAGTCTTCCATTTCTTCTTGGGAAGTTTGAAGAAAGACTTGTGATGTGACCAGGCCAAATCGCAGTTAATATATGGAGAGATGTTTGCACAGGTTCTCTTAGGTCACACATGCTGTTGACTGCAAATAGAGGACTTCTAATTGGTAGAGCTCTCAGAATAATCTCTGCTGAGAGGCAGTGAATGTTAGCTTGGCTCATAAACCTTACCTAATTGCCTACACAGTTTCCAGTTTTTTGAGAGTATGGATATGATGAGTGTGTCTCTGTGTGCAGTCCTTCTCACTTCTCTCTTCTAAAAAAAAAAAAATACGTTCTCTTCCTGTCTTTGCCAAACAGTCCTTTTGATTTCTTGCTGCTCAAGCTAACCAGTCTTCTCAAAGATGGCTGTGTCTCTTTCTGAAGAGTTCAAAGTTCTACCTGAGACCTAGCAATTCTTTCTTTTTCTTTTGGCTACTTTGTGTTCAGTTCTGAGAACAAGTTGATCAGGAGTTAGATTGAAGCAAAGAGGTGTAGGAGCAGTTACAACATGGAAGGGTTAGGTGCTTCAGATTGTTCACTAGTGACAATTTTGTCCTTAATCGTCTCAGCCTCAGTATTGTGTGAGGGGGAAATATGTGGGGTTCTGTTGAAACGCCTACAAGATTATATCAGAGCAGGGACTGAGACACTAACTGACACCCTGTGTCAGAGATAGGAATAGTTAATATTGTAGTGACACAGATTTTAAACATTAAACATCTTATAATTAGGCTATAGCTAATTGCAGCTAGAATTATTTTATAAAATAAAAGCACTTTTAAAATTTTATAAAAATAACCTTCATTAGGATGAAACAAGATGTATTTCTTTTGCTACATTTACAAATTAACCAGTAAAATGACATGCCATAGCATGAGATCCGGGATTCTGTTGTACCTAAGCCAGGCAGAGTTCGTGCTGTAAAGTGTCATGCTCCTTCTGAGTTATTAGTCAACTGATTTACTGAGCACATGTATTGTTTTAAGGGCAGTCTTTCAAATGGAATGTTAAAAGATCACATGAGTGTGTCGTCCCATCCCCCCCCCTTTGGCAAATATTTAAGAGCCTACACACTCTTTTGACCAGGTTAAATTCCAATTTTTGATGTAAGAAACAAGCTCCTGCAGTTTTCCATTGGGTTTGGGGTGTTTTTGGATTTTTTTTTTTTTTAATTATTTTTTTTTTTTACAAATTAGCTAAGTTAAACCTTCCAGTTTTGCCTAGATTGTTATAATTCCAGATTTGGCAGAGAGGTAGTGAAGCTTAATAGTAGAATTACAATGATATTGTGCAATATCAAGGATGAAGTATATGTATATTGGAGGGGGGAAATTGAATCAGCCAGTGCTTCTTTCTGTAGAATCATGGTACCTGTTCTCTGTGATGGATATGCAAAGGTGCAAGAAATGACTATCTGCTGGCTAATGGAACACCCAGAAGTAATTAAAATAGACAGGAATGCAGTTTCCCTCTTGCTCTTTAGGTGGCACTCTTGAACTGCTGACTGAAACTACTCTGACAGGCAGTTGGAGCTGGTTCGTGCATTTGTGTTAAAGGTGAAGGCTAAAACGAACTGGGTCTTTAAGGTGTTTTGTTCTGTAAAGGAAAGATTCTTGAACTTCGTTTCATATAAGGTTCAACTTCAATATAGCACTATGAATTTTTAATTTGTATGAGCAGAAATGTAACCAAATTTTATGAACTCTTATTTTAAGTCATTTTAGCTGTACTATTTCTAATTTGGATTCTCTTCTGCTCTCCAAGTAATGGACTGCTGAGAGAGTGCGCCACAGCATCATCAACATAAGCTAGGTTAGTGATAGCGAGGCTTACTTTGTACGTGTAGATCAGGATGTGTCAGCTGAGCTCTGCTGTGAGGATTTTCTTTTTCTCCCTGGACAGAATAAGAGCACAGCCACTTATAAGTGTTAGTGAAAGTGTAGCATGAAGGCATAATTTCTGAGTCCTAGAGAAGGAGGTGAGAGTGCATGAGTTGTATCTGACTCTCTACTGTAGTCAGTAGGAAAGGCTTAATTCACTGATATGAAAAGAAGATTTCATCTTTTTTATGTTGAAGAACTGTGAAAAGGAAAATTAATTCTACAGAAATAGTAGTTAGGCTCATACTTTGAACCATGTCAAGATCCTGAGTTTGATACATATTTTGTAAGAGTACAGAGTTTAGCACTGTCCTACATTTCTTGATGGAAAGGGCAGCTCTAGTAAGCTGTCAGAAAGAATCACATCTTCAGGAGAAAAAATTGGGTAGGTTCTTCTTCCTATCCTGCGGCTAAGCAAACAGGCTAACTCCACCCCACATGCAAACTGGTTTGCCTAGCAGAACCACTGTTTGTGGGCAGCCAGAGATCTTTTGCCTGTACAGTTTAGTTGTCTGTGCATGTTTTATTTATTAACAGTATTTTTTTTTTAACTGGGACTGGGAAAACTATGTGATATTTTTCAGTATGGCATGTGAACCCTTACAAATTACTTTGTCAGAATCAGAAAACTGCGTAGTAATTTTAAGAAATTATTTTTCTCTGTGCGAGGGTGTGTTTTGTTGGTTTTGCTTGTTTGTTTTTTCCTTGTTATATCCCTTTGGGGGTGGGAAGCTTGCAGAAGAGCGAAGCTTCAGCTACCCAGACATTTCCATCAATCTTGCTTGGTTTGTTTCTTTACAGTTCTTTCATTTCAGAAAGATGAATAAAAATATGCTGTCATCATTTTCCAGTTAAGGCTTATGCTACTAGGATTTTTTTTTTTTTTTTTTTTGAGCATAAGAATAAAATTCTGTTACATTATTGAGGTAGGGGTGGTGATATAATGAGCTTTTTTCAAGTTTTACTGTATGGTTTAAGATCACAAAAATGCAGAACTATACTTGAAGACCTAATTTTTCTAATATAAGTTGTGATTTCTCAGAAACTACAATTCTACTTGTGATGGTGTGTGGCAGGGGAGGATGGTAGTGTGTTTTATTTTATCAGGGTTTTTTAATTCAATGCTTTTAAAATTTTAGTTTTGGTTTATTCTTTTTTTTTTGGAAATGTTATCTGTAATACTAAAAAAAGTATTAAAATATTGTCTATATGTCTATTTTGACTAGATTTTTTATATATATATATATTAAACCAAAGTTGTTTTTCTTTCAGGCTTTCCTCTGTTCTCATCCCCATAAAATAAAAGAGCATGGAAAGGATGTTAGAGATTCTCTCTGGTCACAATGTTCAGCCTTTACCAAAAAAAAAAAAAAAGTTAAGAAGGAAAAATTTTTCCTTCTTCCTCATTTGAAAGTTAAGGAGGCTTGTACTTACATCTGTTATTTTCTAACATCTTAATGAAGTTACTGTGACTTACTATGACATCATTTTCTGGATGTGATAAGTTTGACATTATGAAAGTTTTTCTTAAAAGAAAAAAGGCCAAATGTGAGCGCATTGTGCAGATTGTGAGGATAACTGGCATTAGGTTTTTTTTATTCTGTTTAAAAAAGAATTTAAAAAAATGCATTGGAAAGGTAATCCAAATATAAGTCTATGAAATCCTCTCCTCTTTAAGAAGAACCCTTTTGTTTGCTGGATTATTAAAGTCTGATTTGTACAATTTTATTTTTTTTTAGTCAATGAGAATTCTTTGGGAATAAAAGTATTTATTTGTGAGTACTGTTTTAATTTTTTTTTTTGTGATAACTTAAATAGCAATCTAGCAATCTCCTTATGAGTACACCTTTATATATTTTAGTAGTAAGATGGACAAGTTAGGCCCACCACTGCGAACTGGAAGAGATGTGCAAAGCTTTTATGACACTGATACAAAAACAGACAGTACCATCAAAAGACCAAATGAGTTGTTGCCTATAAAGAAGTAAGTATTACAAATCAGTGTGGTTTATCTGTTTTGCATAAATGTTTCTCCAAAGCATTGGAATAACAGTGTGACCTTAACAGACATCTGCTGCCCGGTATGTCTTCAATATAAATGCTGTGGGAGAACAGTATATAATATAATTAGTATAGTTATCTGTTTCATGCTAGGTAAACAGCTTCACAGTAGGACAGGAAAGGTGAAGACTTCTCTTGGATTTGATTTCTTCTGTCTCTGACTGATTATGGACTAAAAGTAATGAATATCTTTGTAAACCTGAGATAAAACTGAATTTGCATAATATAAAGCTGAAATAAGCATTTAAGCCTGGCAACTGTACAAATATCTGCCTTACAGGCAGATGTTCAATGACAAAGTAATTTTATTCTCTTAAAGTCATATATTTATGTCTCCTCCTTCTGTAAGATAGCTGCAGTGGTCCAAGAATGTAAGCAGGGTAGACTTTGTAGTGAGAGGTAGTCTTTTATTAAATCCAACTTATCTCATATAAAAGCTTCTGAATATTCAGCAAGTTTAAGATCTTGGTTTGGAAGAAAGGGTATTCCAATATTTTAAAAAGGGAGGAGATGATATATTATAGTTAACCCTTTAATATAATTTGGAAGATGCCAAATTCAAGTGGGCTGGTTCTTCATAAAGAATACGTTAAAGCATATTGCAAAAGAGAAATTAGTAGTGAAGTATGCGGCATGTACATGGAATGTAATGCTTTAAATAGTAAAAATGTTTCTAAATATTAATGCTTTTTTCGTATTTTAACCAAAGCTGATACATCTTTGAGACAGGGCGAGAATATTTGAACCTGGGTTTCTGTTTGAAGAAGCAAAAGGAATGAAGGAAGGGGAAGCTCTTTTTAGACAAACAATTTTTGTTGTTGTTGTTGTTCCTCTATGTGCTTGGTTAGCGCTATACATCTGTGAACCATCAAAAATTAGTTCAGTTATTAATTTTCTAATATATTACTAAGATGTTGGAAAACTTGACTTCATGAGTTGCTAAACGTGCTTACAGTAGCCCCTATCTGTAGAGAAGTGATTTGATTTTTCATGATGAGAGAACTTCTTTAAGAGTATAGGCACTTATTTTGCTCTTCATCACATTGCTGCTGTTATTAAATTTCCACTGGGTTAATGAATTAAATCTGCCTTCCTTGCAGGAGGTTATTCAATATGTTATGTGCCAACAGCACTGGACAAATAGCTGCTATTCATTGTTAAGTTCAGCATAGCAGTGTGGTTCTAGTTTATGGCAAAGGTTTCTGGACTTTGGCATGTATGCTATTAGTCATAAGGAACTTATTTATGATTTTGCACAGAACTATGAGCTGTTGTGGTTGACAGTGATAGCTGTAAAGAATAACTGAAAACGCCCTGTTTAGGAAGCAAGCTTGATACTTCAGTAACTTTATAGCAAAATCCAACTAAATTGTGAATGTGTAAATAAAAAAAGGCAAGTTTCCTTTACAAATTTATTTCAGGTTTTCATTTTGCAAGGAGTGGTAATTCAACTAGATGTACAACATGAGCTGCTTTAGGAAGGGAAGTCCCCCTCAATCTTATTTCTTTTGAAATTAAGAGTGGATAATAAATGTCTTTAAAAGTATGTCCAAACTTTAAGAGTTCAAGGTGGCAGTGGTACACAGCCTCATCTGCCATCAGGCTCCGTTAATACTTCATGTGATACAACTTAGAACAGAGATTTATATACCTTTGGAAAACCAAAACAAACAAAAAATTCCAACCAATCAGAAACCAAAACAAACAAAAAATTCCAATCAAACAGAAAACAAACAAAAAACCCCAGAACTGGGCAAGTAGATAGAAGTGGCAGAGTTTGGACAGAGCGGAAGAGACCAAGATGTGGTGACAAAAGTTGAGATAATCAGGAATGTCTGACTTCATTGGAAGACATCTGTCTCTAGAGATCAGGTTGCAACTTAAGGATGCAATTTCAAGATTTGTCATCAAATATACATGAAACCTGATGGTAATTATGTGTCTAGATCTGGGATGAATAAAATTGTAGACAGTGGCAGCCTGCTGCTACTGTTGATTTACTCGTCAAAATGACAGAAATCATTGCAGCTGATTATAAGTCTCATAATAAAGTTTCTAGTCTGAAAATAGATTTGCTTTTTTTCTGTATTTTTAGGAAACTAATTGGGGAAAAATCTGTAGAAATTATGCAGAATGCTATGTTTAAACATTTCAGAATTAAAACATTGTATTAAACCTTTAAAGAATGATGTTTTATCTGTTCATGGGACTCTGCCTTCATTAATAGACATGGTGGACAGTGCACTTTCAATGTGGCTTGTTAATATTTTGATTTATTTTTTTTTTCTGTTTCAATCAGTGGCCTGTATGCTGCAGTAGACACCATACAAATCATGGTTTTAAGTCACCGATTTCTGGGAAATTTTGCTATTATACACCTAGTATTAAAGCATCAGGTGAATTTTCAGAGTACCCAGTGGGATGAGGTTATATTATACATATTTTAGAAAGGGTAACAGTTGAAATACAAGAAGGAATATTGGACAATTTTTCATGATAATTTCTTTCAAATACATAGGACTCCTAGCTTTATGTTCAAAAATGATTGATTCAAAGTACACACTGAATAGGCATCAGTTTAAGAAATTAATGCTGTTAGTTTTGAAAAAGTAGTATGTTGGTCCCAAGTTGAAAATCCAGATAAAACTGAGTCAGTAATACTTTTGAAAAAAATGTTTAGACAGCTCTAAGACAGGAATTGAGGCACAATTCTGTTCTTTGCATCATTGGCTGATCATCCCTGATCCATGATGATCCATACCATTTCTGTGTCTACAGTTGAATTTTTCTTTATATGCTTTTCTAGCTTCCATAGCAAGAGAAGTAACAGTACAGTATGTTTTGGGGTTTTTTTCACTGTTGAGCTCTTACGAATTTTACTCAATTATAAGGAAGGGTAAAACTAGATGGTGGGAAATAACACAAGATTTAGCATCTGTACTGTTGCATACTTGCAACTGTAATTTAGCTTACACTTAGAACTTTTATCCCAGAATTCTATAACTTTTGAAAGACTGACATAACTTTTAATAGTTTTTTTATTATAACTTATGTAATGCTTTTCAGTCTGCACAGTATTTTTTTAAAATAAAACCGTCTTTAAAATCTTCTTGCTAAATAAGAGGGCAGACAGGAAAACTAACGAAGAAGGTTGGTGCTCTGCCCAGTGAACCAGATGGTTCCACTTAACCTGTTGCATATACAAGCCATTCTTGTTAAACTTGAATACTTTAGTTAGATATAATTTCACTTGATTTGAATATAGTTCCTCATCTCCACATTTGTGTAATTTTTTTAAACAGTGACAAAAAAATCTGTCCTTGGTCACTGAGGATAAAAGAATGCCCTTTCCTATCTCTTTTTCTTACCACTCCTCAGGTTTTTCAGGGGATTATTATGTTTCTTTACTCATCAAAGCAAGCAGTGAGATGTTCTGAGTGTTTAGGATGTGCTATTCATTGCATACTGGCTTTTCATAAAACCCTTGAGTCTTGAGGAAAGCAGCATTCACAGCTGTGTGGTCATACTGTTGAAGCCCACTTTAAGAACACTGTGACAGGCTAGAAAAAAATTAGGCCCTAATACCCAAAAGGATAGATTTTCTTTCCTCTCCTCCTTCTGTTTCTATTTACAAATACAATATTTATGCTTTGAAGAAGGGGAATCTACAGCATTATCTGAGAAGTATGCATCCTAAATAAAGTCTGTGGCTATGAAGAAAAAAGGTCTTATAAATCACTTCATATTGGTCACAAAGCATTGAGAATATGGTATCCTTTGTACATTTTTTTTAAACTGTTAAGACCTGCAGTCATCTGCTCTCTATTTCTCTGAAATCCTGGTCAGTCCTAAAAAGTGACTTGTAGTCTATCAAAGTAGACATTAGAACATAGTAAACAACCAGTACTGCAGGATCTGCCTGTTTTGGTTTCATAAGTGAAACACATGAACAGGAAAGGACTTGGTGTTCTGCTTAGCTTGTCATTGTAAGATTCAAGACATATTCAGTCCAAAGCAAGCAAGTTCATGTCAAAGCTCTTCTGTCTGCTCTTGGTAGGAAATAAGTTATTTTTCATACAATTAATTGATGTGTAGATTTTTGTGTTCCTTTTTTTTAATATCATTTGTAAATGCATATACTTGTATATATTTGTGTGTATGTAACTCATCAGATATTTGTTCTGTTTTAGAGGTGCAACAAAAACACGGACATCAGCCCCTCCTAGTGTGGCAAGAACCATGAGCACGGGTGCTCTAACAAACAAAAGAAAAACTAGCAATTCAGACATTTACTCAAGGTAGCTTTTAACTTGGTGGATTTTGTCAGCAGTAGAACCTTCACTAAATGGGAGTACTTATTACAAAAGAAGTTGGGGGAAATATTGTTCTCTGCAGTTAATAGATAACGCATGGTCAGTATTATTTGGCATGTTTAAGATACTCAATGTATTTTGCATATTTATCGGCTAAGAGAACACCTTTGTCATCAGCTGCCTCAGATGTGCACAGAAGAGTGTTAGAAATGTCAAAAACCTCTTAGGAGCTGTTGAAAAAAATAAGTGAATGGTTTCTCAAATGGGAAGTGAGTGGTTCAGTTGAAATTGCATGAAATTTGCATGCTAAGCACACAAATAAATTGTCTGGTGTCTGCCATTTTAAAGGGTAGGATAAAAACTAATGCTGTTTTAGACTTTCTTGTTTTGACAAGCAAAATTTTAAGTTTTCAAGCACTAGTTAATCTAACTAGTGAATCAAATATTTGATCCTGCTCCTAAAATTTTGGCATTTTCTGTTTTCTTGCAGGGAAGGTAAGGTGGGTATCTGGACATAGGTAGGGTAGTGTGGGTAGAGTTATAAGGTATAGCACTGCAAATAAATAGGAAATGTAAGCATGAAAATAGCAGTAAGAATAGCAGTAATTCACTGCAAGGATTAAAATAATTTTGCATGAAGTTATACTGAATTGAGTTATGGAGAATGTTCTTTATCTGGGGATTTTCAGGTCTGATGTTAAAATTGGGTATGACAGTGGAGACTACTCATCCTCAGTCAATGGAGGAAGTTCAAAAAGCAGCGAAGGAAATTCACCTGTACAGTTATCAAAGTTCTGCCATGAATGTGGGACAAGATATCCAGTAGAATGGGCCAAGTTTTGCTGTGAGTGTGGAATTCGAAGAATGATTGTGTGAACACGTTCTTAAAAGCAAAAAGAAAATAAGAAGTCAGAAGCATCTGCTATGTACTGCTGCATGGAAAGTTAGAGCACTCCTTCCTGTTAGACTTCATGCTGCAAACATGGTGAAACATCATACTGTAATTTTCTGAGTGCAATCTTCTGGTTACACAGTTATTTATAAACAAATATATATACTGTATATAAAAATAACAGGTACCTAAAACTGTGCCATTTAAGGAAATAGTCTTTAATCTCTGTTGGAAATATTTAAGATTAAGGTAAAAATGTGTTAAGTAACTTAAGTAGCAGAAGTGGTTACATGTTATTTTTCTTGTAAATCCTACTAGATAAAGGATTATTTAAATCACTTATGTAGGACAATACTTACCATAGGGAAATAGCCATGAAGAACTTGGGCTTCAAAAGTTTCTCTCTGGAGCATTTCCTTCATATGTGACAGTAACTTAAATACTGTGTTTCTACGTGAAAATAACATGAGCAACTCCTTATAAATTCCTAGTTAAAAGTGCAAAATGTCTGAATCCCTTTAAACTCTTTTACAGTCATATCCTAATTGGACTTTCCAGTTACTTCCTAGGATTTTTTTAAAGAATCAAAGTGGAAAAACTACCTGAGAATTCTGTTCACATGTGAGGAGAGAAGCAAGGTTTTTGTTTGTGGCTTTCCATGTGCTGTTTTCCAATAAGAACTTGTTAGTATTTTTATGTATTTATAAGGACAAAAGTGATATCATTTTATTATGTTCCTTTTGTTCAGAAATACTTGTCTTCCTTCTCCTGTGCTCCACCATGACTAGCATATCTAAAAGTTTTGTGCTTTTTGTTTTTCCAAAGGTCCTGCTCCTTTTTGTCTCTTCCCTCATTGCCTGAAGGAGAGATAAAGTCTATGCTTATCCTACCTAAATGTTGAACTCTTATTTTGAAAACAGCCTTCTTGATGTAGCCAATATAAAAGAGTTCTATAAAAATGTATGTTATTAGAACAGTAGAACTTGATGTAAGTAGTGACTGTTTTTTCTTCTTATTCCTGTGCAAATAGCACAGCTCACGTATGAGTGCATAATGGAGTAACTGTGCTCCATAGATTTATATGTTAATACCTTACACGTGGTTTTTTGCAATCTTATGTATACTTGAGCTCTGAACAGCGGCCTCTTGAAGTTAGTAACAGACTGCATTAATTCGTTAGGAAGAAGGGTCAGGCCCTGGCAGTTGCTGGGTATTTTTACAAATTGCACAGGATATTAAAACCATCCACAAACCAAATCATTTAACTTGCATTTGAATGTGGTAATTTGTTTTGTGAAGTTTTACTTGGAAGCACTGGCACCATCTTAGTTATGTGTGAAAGAACAATCTGAAAGAACTTAATTGTGCCTTTCCAACAATAAATACACTCTTTTTACCAGAAATGGTTACTTTCAGCTCAAACCCACCATTAGTATAAATTTATATAATTTCTTTGTAGCTTATGCAAAATACAGTGTAGTGTTCCATTACAGTATTGTGATCATAGTTTGCATTTTCAAAACTTGTGACTGCTATCAATGGGGCCAGTTTTGAAGAAAGCATGATTGAAGAAAAGCATCTCCAAAGCAGATAAATACCAGTCTTGGAGGATGAGAGATTTAAGAGACTTGATGTAGTCATGTTGCAGGCCACACACTATTTATGTTTTAGAATTAGCTCAATGGTGTGGAATTGTCTTACACTTTTTATGCAAAATTATTTTTAGAAATTATTCTTCATTCATGTAGTCTTGTTTTATGATAACTTGTGTAAGCTGCTGCTGGGCATGGTAGGATGGATGACTAGTTAGAACTGGCAAATCTTAGCCAAATTATGTTCTCAGTAGTTTAGGTTCTAGGATCTGTGTTTTGTCACATTCATATCTGTACTTGGAAAAATCGGAATGCTGCATCCTTTGCATAGATAAGCCTGCTTTAGAAAATTTGCCCCAGACTTGGAGCATGGAGGTCTGCAGACTGACTTATTGCAAACTGAGTGCCCATCAGCAAAGATACAAGTCCAGGATAGGTTTGATCGCTTAGTGACTTTACTGAGGAATCAATTCCATTGTCTGACTTGATGAATTTTCAGTTCTTGTTTCTGCTGGAAAAATGCATTTTACCATTTATTGAAAATGCTTTCTACAAAAGGAAAGTTTAGTAAGTAAATAAATGTTTTCCAGGGTTGCTGTAAGTGTAGAAAAAACATATTGACTATTTCTCTTTTGAATTGTAGGTGGCAGGTTTCCTAGTTTTAAATCAATGCACATCCAGTTACAAGAATTTCTGCTTTTTGAACCATTTGTGTGACTCTTTGCTTCCAGTGAAGCATTTAGTAAATTACCTGAGTGACACATCATTTACTTTATTTATGCTTATATGATTTATAGCAAGGACTAGACAGGGGATTAACCTGAACTGAAAGAAGAATTTTAAAAATATTTCCTGAACTTTTAATTTGGCCTTACAAAAAGGTCTATTGAAACATAAATGACTGTTGATAGTATGACTGGATAATGTGTATGTGTTTGAATCTACAATAAGATAAGCAGACAATGAAAACATAATTGACTATGAAGTTTATTACTGTATAGTGAGACTATCAGCAGTGTAATATGTTTCCACTTTATCAACTGATCTTGTTACTGAATGACATTAGGTTTCTGAACTCTTTGATGTTACAGACCATAGAGTGTATTACACATTATCAGCACAAATTGCTGTAATTCCATCTTAATTGAACATTTGTTAGGAAATAAATTTGTTTTCATAATGCCCCCGCAGAACTGAATATGGGAAACAAATTTGTTATATTTAAAGAAAAAAAAAAATAAACTTTTAAGGGAGATTAACTCTGAATTTTGAATCTTTAGGTACATTACATGTGTCAGGAAGTTCCCCTATTTATTTTTTTAATGACCTAGATCCAAACCCACTTGCCCTAGTCTTGTGCTTGCCTTTATGCCTTGCTTTTCATGAGTGGAAAAAACATGGATGCATACACTGAAAGGAGGATGTTCCAAAATGTCTTAAGAATCAAAATGTTGATAGTTGTGAAGACAAAACCCCTAGATGAACTATGCACCGCTGATGCACTACAGTGATGTCTAAATTTAGCTGGTGTTATCTCCTGGATGTCTTATTGACAGATGTTTAACTTAAAAGCCTAAATGTATAAAATTAGAATGATATTACTACTCCATTTAGCATCTGTCTCTCCAGTTCTGTGTGTGTGTATGGGTGTATAGGGTGTGCGCATGAGCACACATGTATTTTGTGAGAACTCATAAGTTATACAGATTTTAAAAGTTGTTTCATTAAAATGTAGTTGATACAAAAGAGGACTGAATGCTCACACTGAGGACTGTGAAGCCTCAGACAGTAGAATAATGTAGTTACTATCCATTTGAAATTAAATTTACTGACATGATTATTTTACTTGTTTCTATCCCCATGTCTGACTCTATGGCAGACTTTCTTTTACTGTCTGCCACTCTACCTTCCTATGTGCTTACTATCAGTTAAAAGAAAAAAAAAAAGTGAAAGGTAAAATTCCATCTAAAGAAATAAGGAGAAGGCTGTTTTTGAAGTCTGCTTGAGGGTGTTTGCATTACTGTTCTGCTTTTGTGAATATCTGTTATACCTCTGTGCCAGAAAGTAGGGACATCCTCTGTGCAGGATCATTGGAACTATACTGATGTAAGTGCAATGGAGTTATGAAAAGTACGAGCTTCAATAGTAAAGCCAACATATGATAAGGCTTAATCTTTATATGATGCATCTTACTCAGTTTTGTATTTATGTGTGGTACTTGCACCCTAGGTAGTTTAAGAACTGAAATCTCTGAACATACAGCAACTTAAGTATATGGTTATAGGGATAAACTTCCAGTCTTACACACCACTCCCAGGAAGTGGGCATGTGGAGGTGCTTTACTACCATTTCAGCTTGTCCCTATGAAATGAACATTTAGGCAGAATTGTTCAAATTTGCCAAAGAGACTCGAAGAGCCACTGGACTCCCCAGGGCAGATCTGGGAAGCTCCACCCGAGGGGTCCCTCGGCCAGGAAGGAGGTGGTGTTGTGGGGGAGCTCTCCATGGTGCTCCGGGCACCCAGCCAGCTCCTGCAGCGCCGCAGGCAGCGGCTGCTCCAGCTCTGCTGCAGGTAGCCAGGTTCACAGGCTGGGAACTCCAAAATGTATTTTAAAACCTGACCCAGTCTTCAAGCATCATGGATGTTCTCTGTCATCTGAGTAGAGACTAGCTCCTAATTTGCCATTGCAATTGAGAGTTAGAGCCTGAAATGCAGTGTACGAAGAGAAGAGTTTCGTGATGCACGTTTATCAAATCAGTGGAGGGAAGTGCAGTAGGTTAAATGCTAATAAACAAGGCATGTAGCAGTGCATACTGATGTAGGCTGTGTGATTACTGTGAGTATAAAATGAAATGGTATTGTTTATGTATTGCAAAGTTCTCAAGAAGTGCTACTTTCCATCACATAGACTTTGTGTATGTGCAAAGAACAAACTTGTTGCAAGGTTTTTTAATCTTGGCTGACAAATTTGTGTTTTCTAGGAGTGCTTTTTACAACTTTAACTCTTTTCAGTTTGACTAAACTATGAAAAATTATATGGGTTGTATGATAGGGTAGAGTTTTCATCTTTGGTGAAATTGATTTTGGTGACTGGTGAAAATAGTTCTGTTCCCTTTCAAGGACAGCTCGTTCCAACTTGTGATGGTTTCATTGCTGGGTTTTTTGTTTTGTTTTTCTTTTTTTTTTTGTGGGGGGGGGTTGTGTGGTTTTTTCTTTTTCTCTAGCTCACTGAGTGAGGTCTGAGTTACCTAATTGTGTTGTTGGAAGGAATGTTCAGTAAAAGATTCTCTAGCTGTATTCAGTGGTTACTTAGTTGATATTTTCTTTCCAGTATTCACAATATGAGATTACTTTTGCATACTACTTTGTTCAGTGGGGTTTTTTTGTTGTGTCGTTCCAGAATACACATTTTTGGAAGATCCTGCTTAGCCCCATTCTATTTCATGTTGCCAGAAAATAGCCTATTCAGATTTTCTTTTAAATATTCTATGTGTCTCTTTACAAAAATAATCAATAGGGAAATCATATTTCTCCAATGTGAACATTAGCTTTTGAGCCAGCAAATCAAATATTCAATTTAATATAGCTGAATATTGAATTTGAGGTCTAAATAATAGTGCATGGTTTACCATAATTCTATATTTGTATTTGGATTTTTGGCAGAAGTGTGAAAAGATTTGGGTCTTATCTGTAAAGTGCTGAGTATTCTACGACTGTTACAATACCTATTTTATATGATTGCTTTAACTCTTGGTGTTCATCCTTCATATGATTCTTAGTATGTATCTTGATAAGTTTATTTATTGATATTCCATGTTTTCAAATGAAATGTTCCTTCATGCATTTGAGGTGATTAATTTTGTCAGCAATGCATTTATTGTTTGCCTTGCCCCTCAGTACATTTGTGTTTGTGACCATCCAGTGGTTTTTTTTGTTTGTTTCTTTTCAGAATTCCTGAGTTTCTCTGCATCTTAATTGATATATTATGCTTATTTTTAAAGCATCAATTCTGTTTTAATTAATAAGTGTAAATCACCACCTATTGCTAATTTGCCACTTGTTAACAATAAAGCAAATATGCCAATAAAACTTTGCGATGCACACATTTTTTGTAGCCAAATGTGAAATAAAATAGCATAAGGATAGGTAATATAATTTCAGCCTTACAAACGTTGTGATGTCTTTGGTCTCGGGTACACCAAACCTGATGTGAGGTCCAGCCTGGAGGCTGTCTTTTCCTAGTGACTGAGAGAGAACCACTTAGTTACTCTTTTCAAAGGATATTTGGGGATTTTTATTAACTTGCAAGGTGAGATTTGGATTCTGCAGTCACCTTGAAAAATACTCTGTAACTCTGTATGTCTTCTTTTTCCCACCTAAATGGAGAACTTAGTTTATATAGAGCCTATGATTGTGATGCCTGTAGTAAATAATTCTTTTTTCTTTCTTTTTTTTTTTTAATAAGTCTATAAGTTATATTATATAACCTAAGCTTGATCTGGGTTTGTTCTCCTTCATCAGGTTAGAGCACTGTTTTGTTGATTAAATTATTAAAAAGGAAAAAAAGCAGAAGTTACTTTTTTCCTGTGAAGTTCAGTTATCCGAGCAGAAATCGTAATAAGCGTTCGTGTTCCTGATTTTTTTTTTATTTTATTTTTTTTTATATATAGATGAGTAAGACCAATTCCTGTTCTCTTTCCTCTTTTTAGGGGAAAGTTCCTCCTACTGAGCTCTTCTGTTTACTTCACCACACCCTTTTCAGAGGAAGGCAGATAGGTTTTCCCTTCATTCTGGAGGAAATTCATTTATGTGCCAAGAGTCTGCAAAATCTCTTGTCACTGCTCAGTTTCCATGATAGCTCTCATGCTGGCTTCCTCTTTATTCTAGTTCACCATGAACCATTCCAATCAGATAGCAGGAGAAGACAAACCAACCAACAAAAAACGACAACAAAAACCTAAGTAGCTGCTGAATGAAACCTATTATAATGCCAGCATCTCTTTAGCTCAGCACAAATCTGAAGAGATGGAACTGGAAGGAAACATACAACCAGCTAGGAGAGGTTTACTCCTGCCTCTTTAACTAAAGAACTACAGCTGTAAAGACCTGTTTGATGGTATAAAGTGAGATTTGAATATTCTCTTCTACTCACCTTCCTTGACCTGGCTTTCTAAACACCCAGCATTCTTCCTTCTTGTTATAAACCACAGCATACCTAACTCATACTTGCTGTTAGAAATATGCAACATTATCTTGCTCACAAGGGTTAATAACCCTTTTCTGCTTTCTCATAATCCCTTGCAACAATAGTGCTAAAATTATTTTTACTAATTTAAATACCTAAATTGTCTTTTTTTTTTTTTTTCCATAAATTCCATGTATTTCTATCATAGTCATTTTTTGCAGGGACCAAATAATTAATTAAATAAATAATTAAAGTGGCAGGGATTTATGTGTGTTGGTGATACCCTGCACGGTTTTCATCCCTTCCCCATTCCTGCAGAGCAGTTAATTGTTGTCAATTTGTAATTTCAGGAGAGACGGGAGAAGGTTCTCAATTGGAAGGAATAAATCAAAGAGCACAGGTCACTGCATTTGGCAGTTACTCTTTGCATGTGGTGGCTCAGGAAATGTGGCAATAAGAATCAGCCAGGCAGGATATTTATTAAGAGAAGCAATCAGGAAAAAATCCTACAATTTCATAATCATTCAGTTTAAATTTTTGCTCTGGATCTAACTTTGGTCTTTCCCCAGGACAGGCCTGAAACTGATTTGCCTCAAGATTTAAGTTGTGGACAGCTGCTAAAGTCATTTAAGCTGACTGAACTTCCAGTTTTGTAGTAGCTAATGTTGCATCTGTGTGTTTATCTTTTAATTCCCACTGACCTTTACTTGCCAAGCTGTTATTAGGAAATAAATCTTGGCTTACAACTGTTCCTGAATTTGCAGAGAAAAAAAAAAAACAAACCAAAACAAAAAAACCCCAACTGTTCAACAGTCTCCTTGGACTTCTTTCACTAGAAGGGATTTCCAGAGAAGTCCTTACAATAGTGGTTACATTCTCTTATCTGCAGTATGATATTGGGAAATCTGTTTCCTATTACATAAAAGAGTTGGGGGTTGGGTTTGGGTTTTTTTTTAGTGTTCGGAGTGAAAGTTGCAATCTCTTACAGTAAGAGCTAAAGAGAATATATGAAAGTCTCTGTCACAGTTTTATGAAGATACTACTTGTAACTCAAGAAGTCTCTTCACTCTAAATAGATGTGGAGTTGGAAGGAGCAATACTATTCCAGGAAAGCTTAACAGTTTGTTTGCTTTGCTCTTAACCTCTTCCCTCACCATTAGCAGCTGGGCACACTGGATTTCATGGATTCAGTACAGCAGATCTTATTCCAGTCAAAGGAGATCTGTACAGTTCTTTGAAGTACATACCACCATTTTTTTCAGGTCTTTGTTCTGAATAACAAAAAAATTTCAGAGTGGGTCCACAGAAAATTTCTTTTATCACAGATAAAACAATATATATTATCTTACTCTGAACCAGGAAACAACAGGCTAACTTGACTAAAGATTTCCCAGAATATTTAGTTCAAGGCAGATACCTGATATGCAAGTGTCTACCTAAACTGGAGAGGTTACAAGCAACTAAGAAATAGGTATTTTATAATAGGAAGTCCCAAGCAGCTGGAGGTTACATTGCTAGCTGTGCTTTTAATGACCATCTGTGAAACAAAGCTAAAGGAGAAGTAATGACACACAAAAAGTCAACAGCCCAATTCCATAGAAGACAAATATTTTATTACCAAAGGAGTTATAATATCAAAGTAAGAAACAGCAAAAGTGTTATAAACAACTATAAAAATACTTCTATTTATCCAAAATTAAATATGAACATTTTATTAGTTAAATGCCAATATATTATTCTCTGAAAATATTCACACATTGAAGTCATGTTTGTCTAACATGTTGAACATGTTATATAAAATGCTTGCATATAAGAAATCACCATCTGAAGGTAAGAAATTCTAGCTCCTCCTGCAGCTAACTCTCGGATAACCAAATACATCAGGCTAGTGCTGTTTCCAGGCAGCTGAACAAACTTACATTCAGGCATCTCCTTTTTGCCTTCCGTAGGGCTTGCTGTCTTGATGCTACTTCAGCCAGTAGAAGTGTGCTACATCTCTAAAACATCAGTATCCTTCCTAAGTTTTTCCCAAAGTTAACATTTTCCCTATTTTTCCAAGCCTAAATAGGTTTGCAGACCCACTAGGTATCCACACTGAAGACATTATTGCATCAGCAGAACAGACCCAAGATCATCTGCTTGTTTTGTAAATTTTTCCTTTTGGTCTTTCATGCATTTTATAAAGACATAAAGAAACCAGCTACTTTTCCATACTGATTTCTTCACCTGTAGCTTCTAAGATGGTTTTATAAATTGCAGTAGACATGTAAGTAGATTGCTTTCATATAACGGTAATATAAAGTTACTAAAAAAATCTGAAAATTCAATGTAGTTTCTAGAGCATGAAGGTGGGACACAGTCTTCTGCAGCGTTCTTTGTTTCAAACGCTGGTCTTTTATTTCCATTTCTTGGATTTAAGCAGCTTGGTTTAGCTATTTCTGTTTATTCCATCTCCAGGAACAAGGTACCTTAGCTTTCCATCAGAATTCTGGCATAAAGTGTTCATATAAGAGAGCAGAGTTACTTGAAGAAATGCAAAGATACCAAGTAATGCCACTTTGAAATAAAAGAGCAGAATTCAGCTGGAATCACCTGGAAATTATTTTTTCAAATTTATTCCAGCAGGATCGAAGGCTAGATATATTTGCTTTCAGTTCACAAAATTCTTGGTTACATTTCTTTTTGGACTGTTCACCTGTTTCTGTATCTTCTTTATTATGTGTATTTACCTGCATGCAAACCTGAAAAAGAATGGTTTGTACTGTTAATTAAGAAGTGCTTGTAATTTTCATATAGACCTCTTTTAAAAAACTAACAGATTTATGTTAGGGTAGAACCCCAGTGAGAAATAATAACTATGATTTTATACACTAGAGAAGTTAAAGGCCACCTTCACACAAGTGTGGTCTTTGTCTTTTACTAGAGAATTAACTCAGGTGTTCCAGTACTGAACCAGAGTATATATCTTCACTATAGCCTTCCAGACCATTGTCTTACTTAATCTTTGCACTGGGCTTAATGTCTATTACAAAATATGCTCTACAGAGAAAAATTGATCCTGCATATAACGTGCATGGTAGTTGTACCTTTGAGAGGCAGATATGACAGTCTGTGTTGAAGACCTCTAAGGAACATCACAAAGGAACTTCCAATACACTGTAGACCATCACTACAACTCACCTTTTCTTTTTTGTGTCTTTCACATTTGCACTGTAGAACCTGTAATGTCCCACATGAGACTAATGCTGCTTTCCATCTAAAGTCTTTGTTGATTTTTTGCTTATGAAAGAATCTGAGCATGTTGCATGCCATACTCTGTAGTGATTCTATTTCCTGTAAGAGAGCAAGAAAAATATGTCCTGAAACATCTGTGCACCATTAATTCTTTATAATGTTAGTTTGTCTTTCAAAAAAAGCTCCATCAATTACCATCAGTTGTTTTTGCTTTTACAGTGCCAATCTTTTTCCAATAAAACACATGACTAATCCTCTGACCTACCTGTCATCTCTTCAAAATATCTGAAGTATCAGTTTGTAATAGTAATAATAATAGCATAAGGATGTCAGGGAGAAATCATAGCCATAATGAAATCAGCTGATGCAGTTAGGAAAACAGTGAATGATTTTTGGAGCCGGTCCTTTTATCAAGTCATGACAAAATTTGCAGCAACAGCTGATGATTCTGCTTTCTGTCATTTGAGATCTGCCCAAACTATTACTTTCAAAGCTTTCAGATCTGAAGTGAAAAGCTTAGATAATATGATTTTCTGTAGAAAAATGAAAATAGATGTTGGGAAATTTTTGTTTCCTTCCATTGTCAAAATAAAATAAGTTTTCCATACTATTGTGGATTAAAAATATTAAAAAATAGAACAAAACAAACCCCACCAAAACCACCAAACATTTATTGGATATAGAATTGATTAATATTTTGATTTTTAATATCAATTTACTTGACAAATTGTGTTATTCCAAATTCAAAAACCAAAAAACCCTGAATATCATTATTTTACTATTAAAAGGTAATATTACTGTCCAACACAATATGTTATTCGGGGACTGGACTGTACAAAGAACTCATTTTCTCTAAAGTAAATTCTGAGAAGTTAAATTTTACCTGGGTATCGTTGCAGAAAAACACTTTGCTATTTTCTTGTTTTTTATTCTTGCAGCACCTGTCACGAAACTCTGCAGACATATGTACCTGTAAAATATCATACAAGTACTTTTAATCAAGTGAGCCAAGTTTCTCGCTAACAGCTGTTGATCTCAACACTAAATTGTTCTGTAGCATCTCCTGAGGTGCAGCAGGGTCACTGTACAATTCTGAGCTTTCACTTGTCAGGCAGGCAAGAAAACCCCAATCCAGCTACAATTTCTAAAGGTATTCACAGAATCACACAGAAACACAGAATGGTTGAGGTCAGAAGGGACCACCTGGTCCAACTGCCTGCTCAAGCAGGACCACCCAGAGCTGGCTGCCCAGAACCATGTCCAGGTGGCTTTCTAATATCTCCAAGGATGGAGACTCCACAACCTCCCTGGGCAATATGTGCCAGTGCTCGGTCACCCTCACAGTGAAAAAGTGTTCCCTGATGTTCAGAGAGAACCTCCTGTGTTTCAGTGTGTGCCCACTGCCTCTGGCCCTGTCACTGGGCACCACTGAAAAGGGGCCTCGCTTTTTGTACCCTCCACTCAGGAATTTATACATGAGATCCCCTGAGTCTTCTCTTCTCCAGGCTGAATGGTCCCTTTCTTTATTGAACAAATGCTCCAGTCCCTTAATCATCCTCGTGGCCCTTTGCTGGACTCTCTCCAGTAGCTCCGTATTTCTCTTATACTGGGGAACCCAGAACTGGACACAAATCTATTAATTTTAAACCTTCATATTCTATCGAATTACTTGGTTCTTTGGCATTTTAAAACATACAGGTATATTTAAATCTTACACAGACATCAAATACAATATTTGTCAATGTCGTCTCAATAAATACATGTTCCAGGCACCTAAACAGATTGTAGCACTCGCTTTGCATATTGCAGTAACAGAAGATGTCCTAAGCGTATCACCTGCTCCCTTTGCATGACCTTAATCTTTTATCAGTAGTTTATTCTCTGTTTTTGTTTTTTCTATTTTCACACATCTCATTGAGATGACAGCTGAACCGAATAAAATTCCTTCACATTCTTCTTCAGCCTGTATCCAGATAACTTAATACAACCAGAAGGGCTTTAAAAAAGGCAGCTCTTGACCATATTGTGTTAGATCTCCTTGCTCACACATGCATATGAACATATTAGACAACTTAATTCTTAAACTTTTTCTGCACATTCTTGTGTAACGTTGCCTGTACTTCAGAAATTCACCCAAGATGAAGTGGGTGTGTTTTCAAACAGGAAGTGTTTTCAAAACAAAGAGTTTAGAGAGTCAAATATTCACTGATTAAATAAATAAATAACATTGGAAGATAATGCACATCTCTGCTTGTACCACAACAGAATGAAGTTTTGCTGCAGTCACATGGCACCAAGACTTAAATAAATAAATAATCACCCTAAAACCTATATATCTGCGGCTTCATTTGCTAACTGCTAAGGGATTTATTTACCCATTCTCACTGACTTCCTCAGACCATCTTTAGTATAACATACAGTAACCATTTCTGAAGGCAATCAGCTGTGACTAAAGCAACCTAAGGGAAATCCTGACCTCAGAAAAGGCATTAGTGAAAATCAAATTAACTTATGGAGGTCTAGCATACAACTTGCTAGTCATCTCCCTAACTGCCTCCAAACATCAGGCTGAGGGACTGAAAGTTATTGATATTGGCTCTGCAATTGCAGGAAAATGCCTAGTGGGCTGCTGCTATCACCAAACAGCATTCTCCGTAATGTTTGCTGTTAGAAGACTGTACACTGATTTTACACAGAAAATAAATGAATCTCTGTTAAACTTGGAAAAATCAAGACAGGAAAATGAAGAAACTTGCACAGTAATTGCTTATGCCTATCCTAGGAAGTAAAATCTCTAGAGTTTGGTACATTCCAATTACCTTTCACAAGCATTAATTCATTCCAGGTTTATTTATTTATATATTTATTTCTTTGGATAACAGTTTTAGTTCTCATACAGTTTCCTAAAAAATGCTATCTCCTAAAAAACTCTATAACATTTATTACAATAAAAAAGATAGACTCTTAAATTGCATCTGGAAGAACAGCGTTGCTCTGTTCAAATCCATGATGGCACTCTGGGGCAACAAGGGCATCAAGCTTCATCCTGCAATTGGACAGTGGCAAGGTGTTGCCACCTCCAGCCTAGGACACCCCTCAGCTTCCCAGACCCTGTGGCTCCAGCGGAGCTGGGGTGTACCTCCTGGCTCTCCACCACAGGAGGACAACAGGATCTACCTTCCAGAAGCTGTTATTCCTATCATTCTGCTTTCTCTTAAGGTCAGCTATCTTATAACTGTTCACCAAGAGGGTTTATTTTTGTTCTCTAGGAAACACTGTCTTTGTCAGAAATAAGATGACAAACTAAAGGGGCACTTATCTGTTCTAATATGGCCTTGAATATTTTCCCCAGCTTTGTCAGGATAAGGTCATTTATCTATGGAGAAATACCTTTCTTTTTTCATTATCTCAACAAACACAACATGACCCAAATGTTTTTGAAGATTAAATGATGGTTCCCTGATCCTAAAGGTTGTTTGGGTTTTTTTCAGATAAGGGCTAATGTGTCTTGGTAGAGAAAGGTTGGAAACCACTGGCATAATGCTCTGAAGGATGGTGGTGGATTACATGTGTGAAGAAATACAATGGCTTCTGCTTTCACCTTTGTAAAAGCACTGTGTATCACTTGTATTTCATGCAAATAGAATTTGATTTAAGACTGCAACAGAATGGTGAGTTTAGTGACAAACTGTCAGAAAAATCACATTTCCATTGAAATGCCTCTGCTAATCCAACCATGAAAAGTGTTTTCGCCCATGAAAGTGCTCTTCACAGGATGAATTTAATCATTAATAATTCATGATGAAGAGTTGGAAGGTAGGTTTTGGGCATGGATTGGTAAACTGTTATGATACTGTTTTTCAAAGCTATAATAAATGTGGCTGATAAAGCCCTAATGGAGGAGATTTACAACTGTGAAAGTGAAGTTTTTCTCTGCTGTCATGTAGAAAAGCTGATTCTTCATTGGCTAAACAAGTTATATTAATAGGTAAAGTGCAAAGAAACCTTTATTGCTGTATGAATTCTGTGCCTCTGTGCATGTGTATTCAATGGACAACATAAAACTTCAGTCAAGTCATCTACAATTAATAGAACAAATTACAGGTTGTGTAATGCTTTCTTCTCTTGATAAAAAGATATAAACAGAAGTAGTCATGAAATTACTTTGGAAAATAATACTTTTTAATGTAATATAGTATACTACTTAGGGCCAAATGGTACATGTGTATAACTACATGGTGCACAGGCACAAATACCTGTATCACAGTATCTGTACAAGCAAATAGGCAGCACCATCTTATTTCAGAGATTTTTAAAGAGACTAAATTGTTACATCTCCTCAAATAAAGCCACCATTCCAGGATATTGTGTGATTTTAAATTGGTCTTTTATAATATGTTAACATTAGTTAATATTAGATCTTTTTTTTAATTATTATTTTCTATCATCTAAAAATAATCAACATTTTTTGAAAGCCCAAGAGCTATTACCTACCAGCTCATTGATGTCATGGCTTAATATATTCTCATACTTCACACGGATTTCAGTTGTTGTATTTCCCATTGCACAACTAGATGAATTCACTGGAGACAGAACAAGGAGCAGTGGCAGAACCCAAAAAATAGATCTAAAAAAGACTGGATTACAACAAGAGCAGTTAAGTACATATTAAAAGCCATAGTGTGCATGCTGTTTTAACATATACATTCTGTAATCTGTTAAAATAGTTTAAAAGGGACTGTTGTACAACCAAATGACTTGTACCCTGAGGGAAGGATTCAGCTCCAGATTAAGACACTATTTGGGTGTCTAAACTCCCTCATACTCAAGGACAATTTAGCCAGCGCGGTTGAGTGCCCACAGCTATTGAGCTGACCAGCCACTTGCTGTTCACTTGGCCTGAACTAATCTCCAGGCTTCACTGTAAGTGTTGATGAGGTCTCTCCATTGACCAGAATTGGACCATAATGACCTACGTAGGCAAGTAAGTGTCTGAGTCAAATAGGTGTAGACATTCAAGTGTCTTAATCTGCAGATAAATCTCATCCTAACTTTCCATTTTTCATATAAGAACTTTGACAAATGCCTATGAACATATTTTTGCATCAAAAGTGTGTTTAAACATATTTTTGGGCTGATCAAACGTACAAATTCATATTAGTGGCCACAACATGAGCCAAGGTGGCTACACACCCTTCTCTGCAAGGTTTTTGCAATCTTTTGGAGCCAATTTCACTGCTTCTCACTTTGTTTCTCCCTTCAGTGGACCATCTTGCTTTGCTCAAACTGCTGGTCTTCTGTCCTTGCATGACAGCCAAGAAAATATGAGTTCTGTGAGGATGGGCAGAGAGAAAAGACCAAAATACCAAAAAAGGATGAAGGCACTGACAGAGTAACTGGAGGCTGTAGGGTGACTGGCCTGATGTTGGAAATGAGGGAGACTGAGATGCTAGGAATGAGAGGACGACATTGGGATTGGGAAGCTCATAACTGGACTCTGTCCTACAGCTAGACTGGCTAGGATGATGCTTAAATGGGAGGAAACAGAGCTAGAAATTTAGTTTGGTGGATTAGCAAAGATCACAGCAGGTTCCTGGACTAGTATGAGCTGTTTCTACCCATCTCTGCTACTCAGTAAGAACAACAACAGCACACAGAGTTAACTGTGAGACTGCAGCTAGGAAAGGCAGAAGGGATGCCCTCACCCTAGCTGCTACTTTCATTCCTCTTCGGTGAGGATGGGAGCATTGAATACGCTCAGCACTAAGAGATGAGTATCTCTGGTCTTGGGTGTCACTAGTGAATCCCAGACTCAGAGAGAAATCTTGAATAACTAAGAAGAAAGCAATGAACTCGACCACAGTCTTTACTGAGCCACCAAACCTCTGTGATGCAAGAACCACAGCCACATCATGTGCTCATCCGCCACTCAGAGAAACAGTCCCTCACATCCCATCCCAGCAGACCCCTACTGCACACTGCTGCTTCAAAGCAGAATGCAGACCACTTTTCCTAACTACCAAAGCCTTTTTTTCCTGATAGATGACTTGTGAACACCCTGTGATGTACACACCTCTGTCCTAGAAACAGGACTGGAAAATTTTTACCTGTACAAGCTGAATTGAGAAATTCTTCTTGTGCCAAGCTGCCTGACAAATTTTAATGGGAATTTTGATGGCCTGAAAAACAAATTTTCTAACCTTTCATACACTCAACCAAGGTCTATTAATTTCTCAAAGAATCTAGTCTGAAGATCTAAATGGACCCTAAATGGATCCTACATATAGTAAATATAAAAACTGGGTAAGGCGAATCTGTTATGATCTTCAAGCTCCAAGTGGACACCAGACTCTCACAGAGCTTTACTTTTATAAATCCCTATGATGACTGTATCTGTACCAAGCAAATTATCAGTCTGTGGAACAAAGATTTAATATTTTTAAAAAGTTAACAAAAAAATGCAAGACCTCAATTACAGGACAACGTTTTTCCAATATACCATTGCACCTCTTGATTTCTGTGAAAAAAAAGAATGCTAACGCTTGTTTCCAAATAACAGTGATACAAGCAACTTGGATATGTTGCTTCAAAAGACACAAATAGCAATCTTCTAAATTAAAATCAATCTAATAGACTGCATCACTTAAAACTTGATTTCTCCAGCAACAAGTAGAGGTAATGTTTGAAAACTACAAAGTCGCTTCTTTTAATTTTACTTTCTCTGTATTGTACAGATTGTGAATCCTTTTTAAATGAGGAAATTATAGAATCAAAGCAGATAATTCTGAAAGAGATGTTGCACACTCATGAAATCCTTTGACCCATCGCAGGATTGCGATGAAACCTGTTCAGACGTTCCTAAATGAGTTCCCTGGAGCCCATTAGAGGAGTGTCATAAAAAATCCCAGAAGCTTTAGACTGAAAATTGACAGGAATTTTCTTAAAGTTAAGTAACTTCAAAAGAAGCGGAACTGACAGCACTCCATATGACCAGCACTTCTAAAGAAAGGGAGTGCGTATTACTGGTAATAGCCCATCCTTTCAGTAAACTCCCGAAAACTTGTAAGTCGTATCTGGAAAGCCCCAAAAAATTCTCCCAGAAAAGCCAGGAAGAGTCAGTATTCCAGTATTTCCAAATATTTAAAAAGCCCCTCTTGGTTTTTTGG